TAGAACATAGGGATTCAAATTCTTTATAGTTCTGCTATGCTCAACACAGTGCAGTTACCATTTGTCACCATACAATGCTGCTACAATATCATTGACTCTATTCCCTATGCTGTGCCTTTTATTTTCATGACTTACTCATTCCATAACTGCACACCAGTATCTCTCACTTCCCTTCACCTTTTTTGCCCATCCACCATCTCCCGTTCATCTGGCAACCATAAATTTTTTCTCTGTACTTATAGGTCTGATTCTGCTTTTGTTGGTTTATTCATTTGTTTTGTTTTTTAAATTGCACATAAGAGTAAAATCATAAGGAATTTGTCTTTCTCAGTCTTATTTATTATCATAATACTCTCTAGATCCATCTATGTCGTCCCAAATTACAAGATGTCATCCTTTTTCTTGGCTCTGCAATATTCAAGTGCATATATGTATGCATGTGTGTGTGCACATATGCACACACACATATATACATATACATACACACATACATCACATCTTCCCTATCTCTATTGATGGACACTTAGGTTGCTTCCATATCTTGGCTATTATAAATGCTGCTGCAATAAATATAGGGGTGCATATATCTTTTCAAATTAGTGTTTTTGTTTTCTTTGGCTTAATATCCAGTAGTGGAATTATTGGATTATAGGTATTTTTGTTTTTAACGTTTTGAGGAATCTCCATAATGTTTTCCACAAGGACTGCACCAGTTTACATTCCCACCAACAGTGCACAAGGGTTCCTTTTTCTCCACATCCTCACCAACATTTGTTATTTTTTGTCTTCTTGATTTTAGCCATGTGACAGGTATGAGGTGATATCTCATTGTAGTTTTGATTTGCATTTCCCTGATGATTAGTGATGTTGAGCATCTTTTCATGTGTCTTTTGGTCATCTGTGTTTCTTCTTTGAAAAAAATGGTTGTTCGGGTGCTCTGCCCACTTTTTAAGCAGATTGTTTTTATTTATTTATTTACATTTTGGTGTTGAGTTGTATCAGTTTTTTATATCTCTTGGATATTAACCCTATATTGGATATCTCATTTGCAAATATCTTCTCCCATTTAGTAGGTTGCCTTTTGCTTTGTTGATGGTTTCCTTCATTGTGCAAAAGCTTTTCATTTTGATGTAGTCCCAATACTTTACTTTTGCTTTTGTTTCCCTTGCCTTAGGAGACATGTCAAGAAAAATGTTTCTAAGGCTGGTGTCAGAGAAATTAATGCCTATGTTCTCTTCTAAGATTTTTAGTTTCAGGTCTCACATTTAGTCTTTAATCCATTTTGAGTTTAATTTTGTGTATGGTATAAGAAAGTGGTCCAGTTTTATTATTTTGAATGTAGCTGTCTAGTTTTCCCAGCACCATTTATTAAAGAGATGGTCTTTTATGTATTACATATTCTTGCCTCCTTTGTCATGGATTAATTGACCATGTGCGTGTGGGTTTATTTCTGGGCTCTCTATTTTGTTCCATTGATCTATGTGTCTAGTTTTGTGCCAGCACCATACATACTGTTTTGATTACTCCAGCTTTGTAGTATATTTTGAAACCGGGAATTGTGATATCACCAGCTTTTTTGTTCTTTCTCAAGATTGCTTTAACCATTTGGGGTCTTCTGTGGCTGCATAAAAAATTATTTGTTCAAGTTCTGCAAAAAAATGCTGTTGGCATTTAAATAGGAATTATACTGAATTTATAGATTGCTTTGGGTAGTACGGACATTTAAACAATGTTAATTTCTAAGCTCCATTCTTGATTAGAATCATATGGGATGGTTATTAAAATTCAGATTCTTGCCAACTCTAACCCTCTTTCTTGATCCTCTACATTTGTAACAGTTGTTTTACAGAATAATGCTTGCACAGTCAGGTTTGAAAAGCACTAAAATCAAATGAACTATAATAGTGCAAATGCAGGCATCATATTATTTCATGAGATGAGGTATTTCAGAATGCAGGAATTTTTCCATTGCCCTTCAAATTCAATCATGTGGGGAGTTGAATATTCTACCCAGGTTCACACCATGTGCCATTTGGATGTCCCTTTTCTCCTTTCTGCTTCTCCCCACCTCTCCCCTCATCCTTTGAAAAATGATAACTACTCCCAAGTAATACTGACCCTCCTGAAACGTGTGGAAAAACTTATGGGGGCTGGTAGGCCCTTACTACCTAAAGTGTGGTCCATGGAGCTTGAGAACTTGTGAAAAATATAAATATAAATTTCAGGCCCTAATATATGGCACTGGCTCTCAACTCCAGTTGCCCATGGGCTCACCAGGAAGCTAGAGCACTGGCCTCCACCCGGAGTTATCAACCTGAGTTAATTGTTCTGGGTGGGTCCCAGGTATTAACTAGTTTTTTTTTAACACCTCAGGTGATTCTGACATGCAATTTGGTGAAGAAACACTCATTTAGAGGAAAGGTTTGAGCAGAAAACTTCAGATTGATTTTAGAACGTCTACTCCATAGCCTTTTCCAGGCTCCTAGGGAAATCCAGCTTCCAGAAAACCCTTCAGATTTCCTTACATGACTGGACTAGGGTCTCTTAGCTTCATTATTTACTGTTACTGACCACCCAGCCTAGTCTGACTTCTATTCTGCCTTCTTGATAATATCCTCAGAACCTGAATAAGCTGAATTAAAGTAGATAACATTCATAATGTCAATGGGAACAGTATACAAAACCAGTGACATCCTACTACATTTTGAAGACAAAAGTCAAGTGTTTTCAAGCATAGCAATAATGATAATGTTTACTTATATTATGGTTAAAACTCTCTAATCCCCGTGACTACTATTGCTTTTTATATTTTGACTATTGCAAGGTGCTGATATGATTGCCTTTGAATAGATTGTAATATTAAAAATACATTTATTTTCTGTACAATTATACATCTCATACACTTGAAAATCATTATTTTTCTTTTATTATTTGACTCAAACAGATTGACTTTTTCTGATCCTCACAGTTTATCCTTATAATTAATTAATGAGGAGAAAGCAGACCTTAGGAGTTAGCAAGACCCAGGTTTTTGCTGTTTTGTTTTTATTTTGTTTTATGTATGTGGCTTAACTAAAACATGGCATTTTTTTTTCTAATCTTAAGATTGATCTTTACACAGTGAAGTAAAAACACAAAAAATCAATTTCAAGTCAAATGCTTAGGAAGTAATGTATTATTTGAAATTCCTTGAATAGAAGGCAAAGTGAATGAATTATTTATATAATATCTTGCTATTCACAGTGTGGCCCTTGAACTTGTAGCTTTGACATCACCTGGGAGCTGACAGAAATGCAGGCTCTTGACCTACTAAATTAGAGTCTGCATTTTAACAAGATAGCTCGCGGATTCACGAGCACATTAAAGTTTGAGAAGCATTAATATAATATACAGTAAGACTCAGAATGTTTTTTTCTCCAACATTTGTCCTTTCCTAAATCACATCTAAGTCATCCATTCCTCTTCCTTATCCAAACTCTTGATAAACTTCACGCACCTCCAAATTTTGTGTTATTCTCCTCTAAATAGTTCCATCTCTGGCCATCTCTCATTTTGCCAAGAAGTCTAGTCCATGCATAGAGGCAGGACGCTATGCTAAACAAATGCACTTTTTCAGAACTTTTTCTTTATTACAGTTGAATAAGAGAGCTAAGTAATGACATGTTCTCTCTACCTACTCTAAACTCTTAAACTCTTAAGGAATAAAATAGATAATAATGCAATGTCTTCTCCTCATAAATATGACAATGAGAATATAGTCCATGAAAATATCAGTTCCCCAGTATTGTAAAAGCACAGAAATATGTTGTTTGCTTTCCCAAGATAGGATGTAAAAGGGTACCAACTTCTCCAGAAATGAATGAGATTGATACAAACTACCCCCACTCATCTTAGTTTTCAATGAATAATCAATCATAATAATCCAAAGCAATTATGTAAGTTAAGACATATAAATCATTTTTCTGATTTAACGTCTCATAATAATAATAGAGAAAGAAAGTAATTATTTATGCCAGTAAGTGTCGGGTATTTCACTATCATCATAAACCCTATACAATATTCTTCATAACTACTTACACAGTAACTAACAATAAGATGCTAGTTTTCTAAATGATTGAGAGGTTTTGATTGAGAGTTTGAATATGTGAAGCATCTGTGAAAACAAACACCTTCATTGACATAATCTGGTTGAAAACTAAATTTCTACTTTTAATTAAAAAAGAAGAAGAAAAACACCCTAAAATGCCTAACAAATTGTGAGAGAAAATCTCCTTCAACTTTTTCCTCCTTCCTTCGAGGGCACACTATTGCCACATAAATGTCATTATTATCATCAACATTATTTTCCAAAACATTTAATAATGTTTCATTCCTCCACACAGAATATTACCCAATAGAAGTCCACGAAAGCAGCCACAAGCACATTCATAACAAAGATAGAAAAGTGTCATTTGATGTCTGCTGTCCAATATGATCACTCAACTAAAGCGAAGTCAGATTTAATCAGCTATGAAACTGAACACATGAAAGTCAGCTTGTGCATATACATTGCCATGATCATTAACGCCTCTATGAAATAAGAGGAGAGAAGAAAGAAACAACTGCTTCTTCTTACCAAACTTCTATATAGCTTTAAATTACTTTTTAAAAAAATATTTCTTTAAAAGACATTTTGTTGCCTTTGGTGTTGTGAACATTTGGGTGTTTTCTCAGGGTCATTCCTGGGTAAACAGATGGTGCATATTTAATGGAAAACATTTGGATAACAGTGCCCCTCCTATGCTCTGGGTGTACATGTACACTTTCTGTTTTCCAATCTTGGCTCAGTTCAGAAGTAAAAAGGGAAAGGTTAAGTCCCTGGGAAAAAAAATATAGCCTACTTCAAGGCATGTTTGGCTTTCAATCCATTTAAGTGTTAATGTTCTTATAGGTTTCATAGGCAACAAATATCAGAAAGAAAAACACTCTATGCAGATTTGAGAAGAGAAAACCCAACTTACCACAGTTATTCAGTTAATTGACAGGCACCATCATCTGAAACAACAAAAATATATTTTGATATTGCAATCATAAAAACTACCAAAGACTTTCAAATTGTTTTCAAACACATATTGTGAATTTATCTACAGAAGTAAAATTAAATAAGCAATAATGATACATAATTTGATCTCAATCATTTAGTTATTTCATATGAAAGTGTTTCATCCCCACCATTTTAGATCCAAATTAGATAGCTGGTTGTTTTTGAAAACCTTTTGTATATGCAAACTGGCAAATATATATTTTGTAACCATATTTTATTCTGATGTTCAAGTTTCAAAGTAAAGATAATCCTGTATAATATGGCTTTTGTAGGGGCATGAACATTAATCATGAAATCTTATCCTAATACATAGCCCTGATGATGACATATAAATCACATTGCTGAGATTAAAAAAAAAAAAGTTCACTCTATTGTTTGTACAATAAAAGCTGAGGCATTTAGCTTAATGTTCAACAGCTTCAGTCAACTGCTCCTGTTCTACCTTTGTAAGACCCTCTCCCATATATATCTAGTGAGTCCTCATTCTACCTTTCAAGTTTATCTCCCACTGTTTTCCCCTGTGCCCTATACTCAAGTCATATCTTAAACACATTCTTTTTTTTTTCTTTTTAAACAAACTTTGGTTCACCCCTTTTTCTTCACCTTCATATTTTTTCTACCCATTCTTCAGGGCTACCTCAACTAACTTCTCAGTTTAGTTTGTCTTGACACCCAGTGAAGGAATTACTCTTCTTTTTCTAGATGTTCCTAATATATTTTGTACTTCTACTATAATACTCAATAGATTCTCTCTTATATTATAGATGGGCATTTATGCCTTGACCCTGTTCACTTTTGCCTGCTCAGAAGACTTCCTGCTATGCCTTTGGCCTGGGAGATGTCCAGAAGATGATGCTTAAGCTAAAGGGAGTGATGTATTTAATACAGAGATAACATGTTGCATACATTTTTCTTAGGTTCATCTGTCATCCTTTAAGAGAAAAGTATTAATGTATCACACCAGTTTTTAGTAATGAAACTTGAATTTTAAAAGAATAGTAATATCCATTATGAATGAAACCTTTAGTTTCATGAAAAAATAAAGAATCGAAATTAAAGAAAATTTCCTCTATTGATAAATGGCTTATTAGGCAAGTTCTTTAAGACACTTTTTTGGTAACATATGGGAATACATTTTATTTTATTTTACTTTAAGATTAAAAAAACATTTAAAAAATAAAAAATCATTTTTTTTGCAAGCTTGAATTTTATATGGAAAGGTGATATACTTTCTTGCCCTCTATTAGCACAGCATATATTTGAAATTAGTGTTTTGAGGAACAGTGACAGATTTGCCTTGAGCCATTAACATGATCACCCCAGCAACAAGCCTGAAATTAGTAGCATCATCTTAGGAAAGAGAATCTATCTTTTTATGGAGAATGAAAAGATGGCTTTGCCTTGTTTGTAATTTTATACTCCTGGCCAAGTTAACTATGCCAGAGCAGACTCTGCTTATATAAAACATGCAAGTGCTTTCCACACTTACAATGTCTTATTCTTCATTCTCCTTCTGGGCCCACAATTACTTTAAGCTACAAAAAGTTAAACAACTTTGTGCAATTACTCATACCAATTTTTTTCCCTAGATGACTATAAATTGGTTATCTCTTCATCCATTTTTTAAAAGACTTTAGTACTATCTTCACATAATATATTAAATATCAAGAGGAAGTATTCTTGAATAACAAAATTTTAAATAATAGATTTAAAGATTTAAATGAATATTTAAAATAGCAATGTTTCTTAATTTGGTGAGAGGGAGAACTTTATTAGATTCTTTGTACCTAAACCTAGAATATGATATTTCAACCTGCAGCTTCTTTGATTATGTATTTTTCATTCTAACGTTCTATAATTCTCATAAAAAGAATATGGGTATAGCACACAATAAAGAAAAATAAAACGTGTGTGTGTGTGTGTGTGTGTGTGTGTGTGTGTGGTGTAACTTTGGGAAGTTGTTAAAGTAAAATAATACTACTAATTTAATATATGTTGATAGTGTGAGTCTACAACCTGGTCATTGGTGGGCACTTTCCTTAACAAGGGTTAAAATTCCCAAAATGTTTTAACAAGAGTAATCATTTACCATTATGAAAGCACCTTCATAAATATTAATACAAATGAATCATTGAGTTTTAGGTATAATTATTAATACCTGAAAATCATCTATATTATTTTGAACTTCTTTAAAAAAAATAGAGTGTATACTCTACATATTGATTTATTGAGGATGACACTAGTAGATAAGGAAAGTGAAAAAAAAATCAGTGGTAAGCACCCCTGAATTTATTGTTGCTTTGCATTTCTGTGTCAGAGGTAATGCAAACATAGCTGGGCTAGGGATTTCAGGGATCCATGGCTTTCTGAGAGCAATGATCCCATGGTAGTCCAAAATTTAACAAAGAAAATCCCATGAGAAAGAAATGTGAAGCAGAATATGTTTTAATCAATATCTGTCCTAGGGACATTTAAGTGGGGATTTTCTTCCATGTGACTGGAATTGTCAAAGAATAAGACCAGTCAAAACCTCTAGTTCTAGTAACACAAAATATTTTAATGATCTAGAATTTCTAACACGTTCATCTAATTCACCATCTTTATTAATCCAAATTTTCTATTCTCTTTCTTTCTTTTTTTTTCTTTCTTTCTTTCTCTTTCTCTTTCTTCTTCCTTCCTTCTTTCTTTCCTTGCTAAATATGTTTTCCATTCCCTTTCTTCTTCTGCATTTTGATCAGAACTTGAGAATGCTATCTACAAAATATGGAAATCCTTCCATAAGAAAGAAGACCTTATCAAAAACTTTGGAACTTTTGTTTTGATTCCAGAGATGCTGGCATGAGTATAGAAAAGGAGTCATCTAAAATAAAATAATTTACGGATAGCACATGCACCTACAAAATTTTTTTCTTAAAATAAGTTTTTAGGTCCTTTCATATGCAAATTTATTCAAATAACACTTGCAATTAGCCATCTACCTCTCTATGTTTGACCATTTAATTCTCATAAAGAGCATTTATTTTCTATGAAAGAACCCGGGTGTTTGAATCCAGGAACAGAATACTAAGTGGGCTATCATTCCAATATTGTGATTATACGATTTGTTAGAAAATAAGAAGAATAAATTAAATATGTATTATTGCCTTCTCTGTATATCTGTACTAAGCAGGTGGTAGGAGTAAGCCAGCTATTTCTGAATTTACTTGTATAACCAATTATAGAAATAATTATGAAAACAAATGCAAATAGGTACCTACTCTGGGCATAGAAAATTATTTTAGCAATGAAATTCTTGAGTTCCAATAATATCACTGAAATACATAAATTCATATATAATACATACATATCAGGTGTATCATTTCTCTGACAAGCACACACACATGCATACAGATATAGGTATATGTAAAAATGGTCAGAGGGGTTCTCCTCTTTTCTAATTTTATCAGATTTCTTTCTTTTGGCATTTCTTTTTCTTTATACAAAAACTCCAGTCCTCATTTCTCATATCAGTCATGAGCAAATCCAGGACTTGAGCTGAAGTGGCAGGAGATGAGTGGTAACAGAGAAAGAAACTAAGAATGAAAGGGAATTGGTATGACTAAGCCTCATGACACATATTCCATTAAATGGCCCCTGAGTCAAAATCCAGAATAGTCTTGTGAGTGTGTGTATGTGTAAAAAAAGAAAGGATAAACATTAGGTCAAACATTATTAGGATAAACATTAGACAAACATAATTCAGAGAAATATATTAAGGAAATCTTTAGTGACCAAAATGAGGAAAAAAGTGGAAATGACTAATATGGAGTCACCGATCTTTTGGTTCTCTAGGACATTTATGAATCTCTGCCAAGAGCTTTGGGATTTCAAGAACAAGAGATTGAAAAGCCTCACATGAAAATCTCTTAACGGGTATGGGGGTTGAATTTAAACTTTTGATAAGAACAGAGAAATTCCACAGAGAGGATTTAACAAAAAATTATTTCTGGGTTGGTTGCTTGTGCATTCAGTCTCCAAAATTCTCTGGAAGGGCACACCCCCAACAAAGGATTTAGGAATTATGAATATAAAACCCTGGTAAGCAGGAGTTCAAATCCATAATTATCAAACAAATGAGTAAATTTTAAGTGAGAGTCAACAGAAAGATCAAAGAGCAAGATTAGAAACACCAGATATTGGGATTCAGCTAATGGGATTACTAAACATAGATTATAAAATAATTAACTTAAAATAATTAAAAAATGAAAGATGGAGAGAAAATATATGAAATAAACAAGATGTTATCAAAAGAACAGGACCATTTTCAATGAGTGCCAAATACAATTTTACAAACAAAAATATAATCATTAAAACTAGTAAACAGATATATTAAATATAGCTAAGAAATAACTAACAGGGAATCAGAGCTGAATAAATTGTCCATAACATTACCAGAGAAACAAAAAGGGGAAAAAAAGGTGATAAGAGTTTATGAGACATAAAAAAAAAAAATGGCTGAGATGATCCAACATTTGTTTAATAGGAGCCAGAAAGACAATGAGCAGAGGTACATTTAAAAGAGTAATATATAGGGGTGCCTGGGTGGCTCAGTCATTAAGCGTCTGCCTTCTGCTCAGGTCATGATCTCAGAGTCCTGGGATCGAGCCCCGCATCGGGCTCCCTGCTTGGCGGAGAGCCTGCTTCTCCCTCTCCCGCTCCCCCTGCTTGTGTTCCTGCCCTTGCTCTCTCTCTCTCTCTCTCTCTCTCTGTGTCAAATAAATAAGTAAAATCTTTTAAAAAAAAGAGTAATATATAAAAATGTTCAAAGAATTGTGATATTTATATATATATAAATTGTGATATGTATCTGTATATTTATATAAATCTGTTTATGTTGGTCTACTTATTTATCTATCTATCTCTTCAGGAAGCTAAATGAATCTCAAGATAAACTCAACTAAATTTACCTCAC